TTGTATTTCTTTTAACAGCGTTTTGTAATTTTATTTGTAGAGGTCCAGGGGCAGTTTTAAGTCAGGAAAATATCTTTGTAGATGCCAGGCGATTATTTGGGCTGATCTGTGCTCAGAATGAAAAATTTCGTAGCCTTCTGCTGATGTCACGATTGCTTCTGTGTTTTTAACTTCATTGTGCTTGGTCATTTGTGTCTAAAATGAGAGGACACACGGGGCTGTGGGGGGCAGGGAGTGTTAGGCAGGAGGATGGGGGAGGGTCGGGGGGTTGAGGGGCTCTGGTGCTGGGGGCAGTGGGTGTGCCTCAGACCCGTGGACGGTCGGTGCAAGAACCGACTGACACGGAGTACAGAGTAGGCGGGGTGGCACAGGGGTGGGCAGGGGCTGCAGGGTGCCCGCAGGGCGGCTTACTGTGGGGGTGTGCGCCCATCTGTGTAGAGGCAGCCCGGTGACGAGGTGTAGCTGGTGGCACAAGCTGTGATGTGGTCATCTTAGTGAGGACAGTGAGATAAAGAGGGGCCGAGTCCTGCTTTCCCAGGCCAGGCGCCTGGCCCCGCCAGTCCCCCCCACCCCCCAGCCCCGCGGCTGCAGTGACTGCTGCCAGGAGAACCTTCATCCCCAAGGACCTTGCCCTGTCACTTCCATTTCCCTGTAGCTGCGTCCTGGGGACGTGGAGTTAAAGTTAATTTCACACTTGGCTTCCTGCTGCACTGGCAATTTTGGATGTGTCCAAGTTACCTGTGCCCATCTCCGTTGTTCTTCCTCAGCCACCTGCCAGTCTGGAGGTGCTGGGGAGCTTTGCATGCTCCCCAGGGGCTTGCTGTGTGATCTGCCTCAGGCGCTGGGAATCTGGGCAGGGGAGGGCTGCCTGGCAGCACAGGTGGCCCCGAGTTGGGAGGTCCACCCTGCCCACCCAGGACCTGCTGAGTGCCCTTGGCTGACCTCAGGGGCATCCTGGAGCCTGTGTCCGGGGTGAGGGTCGTGGGGTCAGGGCAGCAGAGGCTGTGGCTGCTCTGTGGCTGTGGGGCCAGGCCTGCCAGGGAGAGCCCAGGCATTGCGCCCGCCTGGCTCCTGTCTTCCCTGGGGGGTCTGGATGCCTCCGCGACCCTGTGTTCTCTCCTTCCCATTTTTCTCGTCTTGCAGCCTGAGTCCTTCCTCCTGCTGCCCCGTGTTTGGGGGTTGGCCGATTGGCACTGTTAGCCCCAGGGCCATGTTGTTGGACATGGTGCTGCTGACCGGGTTACTGTAATAGGTCTTCCTGGTCTACGACGGAGGTTCAGAGATGCTCATTATCTTCCCCGGTGTCACACAGCTGTCCTCCTAGACTAGCTTGATCTTTCTGTCCCAGCGCTCCCTCTCCTGGCACTCGCGTCTGGGCTCTGTCTCTTGTTTGCCCAGTGCCTTGGGCAAGGCACACTGCTTCTGGCTGTGTTTTGGTTTCCTTAGGATGTCTCTGGCATGGGAGGTGTTTGGTGACCATTGAGTGGTGGTGGGGGGGGATTCAGACCCTCACTCATCCCCATCTGCTAAGCTCTTTCCTGTGGTTCAAGCCTTGTGGGCTGCTTCTTTCCCAGCAGTCTGGCTCCCAAACACCCCTTCTTAGACCCTCCAAATTCACCATCACCCCTCACTCTTGGACTCTGCACTCTCATTTCCCTTTGTCCGCCCCCTGCCTCTGCTTCACCCAAGACAGGATTTCTCTAGGAAGCCTTCCCTGATTGACCCACACTTTCCCGTTTTAGGCCTCAGGGCCTCCAGGCTCTCTTGAAACATCCATAGAGCTTAAGTCTCCTTACTGCTCCTGATTCCTGTTTTTCCTCCTCAGTTCAGTGTCAGACAATGATAACGAGGCCAGCAATGCCTTACAGTCGTGGGTTTTTAAGCCTCCTCCACCGGAGGCTGCAGATATCCTTTGCACCCCATAAATACCTCCAGTGCCAGGTCACCCCCTTGCTGGCTTGGTGGCTCCTCCAGAGCCCTCTTAGAGACTGTGCTCTTTGTTTATTCAGGAAAAGATCGCAGCAGAGTTTTATCTACAATAAGCCATTTGCATCCCCAATTTCAAAACACTTTTTGAGAACAAAACAAACACTCAAAAACTGCCAGAAGAATGTTGAAGCAGACGCCACAAGCCACTGTCTAGGGGACTGTGACCCCCAGGTTCATGTCTTCTGAGGTGGGGAGGAAAGTCAGGGTGGGGTAGGGTGGGGGTCGGGTGGGCAGTAGGGCATGGTGGGGACTGTGGTGAGGACTTTGAGAGCCTCAGTGCCCAGACTGTGGCCACAAGGGAGTACAGCCAGACCGCTTAATTTTTGAAGAGAACCTTTAAGTTCAGTATTTTTATGCCACAGCTCCTGGTTTGCAGTGCTGGCAAGATATTCAGATTCTTTAGAGAGCTCTGCAGGCCAGACACAACACACTGGCGGGCTGGCTCCAGCTGGAAGAGGGCATCTGTAACCTGCCGACGTGACGCTTGTCCTCTTTGGCAGTGAGCGGACACCTCTGGGTGCCAGGCATGGTGCCTGCTTAGAAAGAAGCCCAGGCCGGCCAGGGAGAACTTAGTCTCTGGCCGCTGCATAGACAGAGGCAGCTGTGCACCTACCTGCCCCCCCGCCAGGACCTGGTGGGAGCAGCAGGAGAGGAGGGAAGTCGAGACCGAGGGCCGTGGCCTTGTGCATGTCCTGGCACTGCGGCTTCATCTTCAGAACCGCGGCGCCATGTTCTACTTTCCGTCCTGATTGCCGGTTCGGCAGGGTGGGGCCACCCTAGTGGCGCCTTCCGATCTGATGACTCTTGTAAAGACCCCGGTTCCAAATAAGGTTGCTTTGGAGGTACAGAGTCAAGATCCAACAGCTTTGTGGGGACACACATCATCAAGCCCCCTGCTTGATGCTTCAACACCCTTCCCGCCCCCCACCTCTAGACATCCATGCTCCCTTCTTATGTGTTGATTTTGAAGTAGCTGGATTTGCAAAAGACTTGCAAAGGCGCTGCTGAGATCCGGATATCCTTCACCTAGTTTTGACGGTTGCGAACGTGAACCCCATCCTTTCACAAAAGCAGCATTTGCTAAGCCACAGACCTTCTGAGCTCTCCCACTAATGTTCACAGTCTGATCCCAGCTCCGTGCTGTGCTGGCCCAGCCTGCCCCTGCTCCTGTCTGCCTGACCCCGACACCAGGGGGCGCTGGCCCCTTATGGGGTTTCCTCTGGCAGAGATGAGGTTAGTGGGCTTGGGTTTGTGGGTTTGGGATGGGGGTCTCTGGAGCCATCTGATGGTGGGGTGACGTAGGCCTGCCTCTCCCAAGGCGGCAAGTGCTTCTTGGCCTTCCCAAGTCTTAGGCCCAACCTGGTATTGGGCCCAGACCACGGCCCCGCCAGCCCCGCTCTCTGCTCCTTCCCCAGGCTGCCCTTGGCCTCCTCTGTTCTTCACACTCTGAGCTTGCTCCTTCCCCAGGGCCTTGGTACCCACCATATGCCCTGTCTGCAGGCTCTTTCCCCAGGTCATCCCTCAACAGGGTCCTCTGGTCCTCTGTGCCTGGCTTAGGATCCCCTCCGGGAAGCTGCCCCAAGGTATCTGTGCGCTCCACTGACAGCCAGAGCTCGCCCTTCTGCTGGGTCCCTGGTCCAGAATCATCTCGGTTCTCTTGTGTATGGGCTGGGCGCCTCCATGGAGCCGGGGCTGCTGCTGTTGTGCACATGGCTGCACCCCTAACACAGAACATGGTGGACACATAGTAGGTGCTCAATGCACATTTGTTGAATGCTATGTGCTCCTCGTTTTTTGGGTGAAGAAACTGAGGCTGAGACGCTGTCTGAGGTTTGCTGAGTTACCCCATGGTGGGTGCAGGGTTCTGTGTGATCCACACCCCTGCCACACTTTCCTAAGACAGGACATGCAGGCTTCTCTGCAGTCGGGCCGGGAGTGAGGCCATGACTTCCTGCTGGGCTCAGTGTGGGCCTGGGGGTGGGGGCTGTGGCAGGCCCAGGAAACCCAGGCCCTGGCAAGGTGGCTGGCCCTCAGTGGCTGGACCTGGCCCGGAGTCTTCTGAGTTGGCCGCGGGTGAGTCTCCGTGGGGTCTCTGTGTTCAGTTGATTGTAGACCCTTCAGCCCCTCCTGAGGTGTGTGTTGGGGGACCTTGACCTCAGGTATTCGCAACTTTGTGGGGTCGAGGAGAAGGGGGACCATGCTGGTGGCTGGCAACTCACTCTAGGGGTTGCGGGTACCCCCACCTCACAAGCACTGGGGCTGGAGCCCACTCCGGAGCCGGGCGAGCAAGCCTGGGCTCGCAATCTGACCTCCCGTTGCTGTTTCCCTCCTCTTAGAAACCAGGCGATGCGGAAAAAGCTAATTCTGTACTTCAAGAGGAGGAATCACGCGCGGAAACAATGGGTGAGTCCTGGCCCCCCGCCCCCAGGCCAGTTTCCTGGAGAGCTGGGACGGCCACCGCAGGGAGGGGTGGTCAGCTTTGCTGCCGCGTGACTGAGCGTCCAGACTGTGAAGAGCCAGGACAGCAGAGAATGGGCAAGACCAGGGCGTCCCTAAGCCCGGCCCCAAGGAGGCTCCAGTAGACTCGGTTTCTGCCGCGCCTGGTCCAGCCTGGAAAGGCGGAGGGAGCATTTTGCAGAGAAGAGCGGCGGGCTCTGACGGGGGTGGTGTGTGTGTGGCGGCAGCAGGGTGCCCAGACGGGACTTTCCTGCCACCCACGCCACATCCAGGCTCAGGGATGTGGGGGTGTTGGGAAACAGTGAGGCTCCCCATTTTTGCCAGTGGCGCGGGTCCTGTCTCTGCTGGACGCTCCGAGTCCCTGCTAGAATGTGGTGGCTGGGGGAGGCGGGGAGCCATGTGGCCCAGCAAGGGCATCTGTGACTTGGGGTGGCACAGACTTTGCTGACTCGCTGGGGGCCTTAGGACCCCGTGGTGGAGTGGGGTTATCCTTGGGATTCTTCCAGCTGTGAAGCAGAAAATGCTGGCTCAGATGGGCTGAAATTGTGAAGGAATTTGTGTAGCTGAGAAGGTTATGGCAGAGTTCAGAAGCGGCGTGATCGCGCTTACCTTCACGTCTGCGTGGATCATTCAGTTTATTTCTGCACTGACAAACTGTCTCCCTGTGGGCCTGGCTTCCTGCTGCAGGTCCGAATGTTCTAGAGTCAGAGAGAGCTGCCCTCTCTCAGACCACCTCACCTGAGCTCAGACTGGACCTCCTGGGCGCACGGGGCCTGCGGAACAGCAGTCGATGCCAGGGGATGGCATTGCACTGACTGGCTTTGGCTTCCTGGGCCTGCCCAAGACATCTGCCAGGCAGTTTTGGGCTGGGAGGGGGCCCCGAGCATGTCTAGCTCATAGGGGAAGAGTGGTCTCAGTGGGGCTGCTGTCCTGGGAGTCTTTAATAGGAGAGGTGCAAAGGCTAGTCTAGTGTGGATTTCTGTGGCAGGATCTGGGTTTGGGGGCAGGTATGAGGGGCTTCCCATATGCCTGCACCCCAGGCCTCTTGCAGCTCTTTCCTGGGGCCAGGAGCTATGGGGTGGCCCGACTGCCTTTCCCAGACTGGTCCTTGAGCACTGCCGGCCCGGCAAGGCTGGCTCAGACCTCTCCTGGCAGAATAGGGCTGCAGGGCACAGGAGGTGAGGCTTTGTTGCTTCTTGAGCAGAAATAAGATGTGGGCTGGATAGCCAGCAAGAGAGCGAGGGGGTGTGACCTGCTCGGTCACCCTCGCGGCCTCCATGAGACTGCCAGTGCCCACCGCCAGTTGCTACCAGACCTGCGGGCTGGCCGGGGCTGGAGAAGGGCTCGCAGTGCTGGTGGTCCCCAGGCTGCGCCAGACTCTCTGAGCACACAAGTGTTTGCAGCTTTTGACCTACCTGCCGGGCACTTGTTAGCTCGGTCTTACAGAGGAAGAAAGTAAGGCACATGTGATTGAGTTGCTTGCTCCAGAGCCCACAGTGGGAAAGGATGGAGTCGGATTGGAACCCATGTGCGAGCTCTGAGGCTGTTCCTGCCCCACACTGTTCAGCCCTGTAGTGTCTGGTGGTGAGGAACTTGGGAGGCATCTGGGGTGTGGAGGAAGCAGGGGATGTGCCTGTGGGGACCACCCCAGGTGTAGAGAGTCACTGGGGCTGTGTGGATCACGGGGGTGGCTTCAGGCGGGCTGCAGCAGAGCCTGGGGGCTTGCAGCCTGAGCTGGTGGGCTTCAATGGGAGATGGGCTTCCTGATCCCGCCGGGCAGCCGGGTCTAAAGTCCAGCGGCTGCAAAGGTAAATGGTGTGACTGTGGGGGTCTTTTGTCGTCCCCTCTCTCTGGCCTCTGACCCTAGGGCGCCCCCTTCAGCCCCCAGGTGGAGAGGTGGGCGGCCGGGCACCTGGGGCAGGAACACGAAGCTGGGCATCCCGTCATGCTCACTGAGTTCAGGAATACATAGGGTGGCCTGTCAGGGCTGTGTGGAGGGGGCTGACAACTTCAAAGAAGTGACCTGCGGGGGAGGGGCAGGGACGGGGAGGAGCCTGTCACCTCTCTTGTTAGGGAGGCCTAGAGCGTGGGCTCTGGACAGAAGGGTGGGCAAGGCTGGGGTGGGGTTGGCTTAGGGCCTCTGCACCCAGGTGGGAATGACAGGAAGGGCCAGCTGAAGATCTGGACATCCCAGTGTCAGGCAGGGGCACACCTAGTGCAGAGGCCCTGAGGTACCCACCGGGGTGCAGGATGGAAGTGCCTGGGGGGGATTGTGGTGGGCAGACGTCCTGTGAGGACGGTCCACTTGGATGTTATGTCATTCTGAACATGGTGGGACTCCTGATTATGAGAGCTGGCAGGACATGGCCAGGAGTGCCGGCTCCCAGAACGGGCCGCTGACAGTTCCTGGTGCCACTGCCTGTGTGTCTGATGCGGCCTGGGTCTTGTTGCACAGAGACCGGCGCTCACCGCAATGCCCCTGTGCCGTCTCCCGAGCAGAGAGCGGCTTCTCTGTCACACCTGAAAGCTGACAGGGCGACAGCCTCCTTCTGCCTGCCCCCTTTGCATCCCCTTGTCCTGCCTGGGGTTGGGGGTGCATTCGGGTGGAAGAGGAGGACCCCTGTGAGGGCTGGAGGGTTTTGGGGGTTATATTTTATCTTGGTGATCTCTTGGGTTCCCTCAAGGAGGTGGAAGGGGAAGATAGAGGAGTGGTGGACACAAGAACTGTGGGCTATTTGGTGTCTGTGCAGCGGCCATCTTCTCTTCATGTCCAGTGAGCCACTGTCACCTGCAGGGCGGGGGAGTGTGGGCCTTGGAGCTGCGTGTCCTGCCCCCCACCAGGGCCAGTCCCCATGGACCCGAGCCTGCTACCCTGCACCCCTGCTTCACTCAGAGGGTGCAGTTCCCTCCAGAGGGGCCCAGCAGGGGGCCCCAGGCTTGCCCTGGCCTTCTGGGGAGCTGAGCTCTGCCCCTTGGGAGGCCGGATTTGAAGGGGCAGGTCAGGTTGTGCTGCGAACCCCAGTCACAGGGTCTGACCCCACCACTGCATCCTGCTGAGTGACATCTTGGGACGCCGACTTCCAGCCCCACTTTTCCTCCTGAGTGGTGGGGTGGATCACAGTGAGGACCAAGGGATGGGGAGGGTAGAGCATGGTTGCCGGAGAAGCTGCTCCCTAGTTCCAGGCACCTCCTGCCCTGTGACCATCCCCTCCTCTGCTCCCAGCGACGCCCTTATTGGGCGAGCCCTAAAGCCAGTGTCTCGTGTCAGATCTCTCCCTCTGCCTGGGCAAAGCCTTTCCTTGGATGTGCCCCATATTTATGTTCTGCGGTGAGGCCGTGGACGTATCTTTTGGGGTCTCCATTCGACCCACTGCAGTGGGCCTGTTTGCAGTATCGTCTGCCTTTCACTTTCTCAAGACCACTCAGGTACCCCTCACTGCCCCCCGGCTCCCATGACTGATGGCGCAGCCTGAGCCTCGGTCGGATGGGCCATCCCTGCTCGCGGCTGGACGAGGCCTGTGTCGGGGACCTCCTGGGCACCCCCTCTCTCATCCCCTCCCTGAAGTGCAGAGCTGCCGCATGCCGCTCCTACGAGGGCATGCCCCCAGCTCTGTGCGGGCCTCAGGTTCCTCTCTGCTCAGTGGGGTAGCTGCTCCCTCTTCCCTGGGCCGTGGGGTGAGGGGTTGCGCTCAGAACTGCAGCCGCAGGCTGACCCTCAAGTTCATGTGGGGCTGCAAAGAACCTCAGATAGACAGAACAGTCCTGAAAAGAACAGACAAAGGGGAAGACACGTGCTACAGTTTCTAAACATCTCCAGAGCTGCAGCAGCGGCAGCAGAGTGCCCTGAGCTGCCCCGGGCATGGTCAGAAGAGGCGCTGGGTGTGCCCACACCTGTGTTGGTGGCCTGTCCGCAGCCCTGGGGCGGAGGGGATGGGAGGGGGCTGTCGCCTACGTCACGTGACAGAGACCTGAGTCTCCATCTCCAGGAGCTCCTGGGGCACGCACATGCGGAGAGACCCCATGGACTTGCCTGACTGTCCCCTGAGGGTTGGACCCTAGCTGCCGGTTTGTTGCAGGCCTAGGACACTGGCCCCCTTGGTCAGAGACAGCGGCAGCGTGGGGGTTCTGGGCACGAGGAGCAGAGAGGGGTCCGGTTGTGCTAGAGCATTGAGACAGCGTTCAGGCGAGAGCCCCAGCTGCCGTCTGTCCGCGCAGCTGCCAGGGATGGAACGCTCAGAGATGGGGTCTCGGGTGGCCAGATCCTCTACTGGTCACCCTGGAGATGTGGGAGTGCCTCTGGGCCGTCGGGGGGGCTGTCTGCCAGGATGGCTGCAGGCAGCACTGAGGCCAGACCTGGGGAGGGACTTCCACGTCTCGCACAGACGCAGGGCCTCCTTCCCGGCCAGGAAGCATGACCACACCTGAGCCAGGATGAGGAAGCGGTCAGAAAGCAGATGCTTTCCAGGGGCAGCCCCACAGACACCCCAGAGCCACAGCGCCTGGCGGCACTTCCTGCGGGGATGGAGACGGCTCGGGTGAAATGCCCACTGTGTGGCGGGGGCCGGGGGTGAGATCTTAGGCCCTGCTGACTTGACTTAGACGTTGGGGCCACTGGTGTCGGCAGCTTCTGTGTCAGGCCAGGCCTTTCTAGAGTAGTGAGAGCAGGTGGGGTGGCCGGACGCCTGGGAGGGAGGCGGCCAGGCCCGAGGGGGTGCTGCAGGTTTTCTTTGGGTCTGCACAGGCCTCTGACTTGGTGTCTGCTGGTGTCCGTGTGGGCACTGGAGCTTGGGGAGTGGACAGCTGGGTGTGGAGCGGGCACAGGTCCACCCCACCACACGCTGTCTGTGCCCGTCCAGGAGCAGAAGTTCTGCCAGCGCTATGACCAGCTCATGGAGGCCTGGGAGAAGAAGGTGGAGCGCATCGAGAACAACCCCCGGCGGCGGGCCAAAGAGAGCAAGGTGCGCGAGTACTACGAGAAGCAGTTCCCCGAGATCCGCAAGCAGCGGGAGCTGCAGGAGCGCATGCAGAGGTGAGCCCTCCGCCAGTCCTCCCGCCCCACCTTCCTGGGTCCTGCTCTCTCCCCAGGGCACAGGGCATGGCCCTGAGGGCAAGGAGCCTTGACCCCCTGGAAGTACAGTGGGGTCTCAGGCCGCTTCAGGGGCTGCAGCGGGCTCCTTCCACTGGCTTTCAGAAGGCAGGTTGGGGTGTGTGGCCCTATGGATCTTGGGGCGCACAGTGGTGGCTGTGGTTTCTGCTGTCACCAAGGCCAGGCAGGCACTGTGGGTACTCCCCAGTGGATACTCCCCGTCCGTCTTAAGTTCCTGGCCAGACCTGGGGCATAGTGCTTGCGGCTAGAGAGGTGGCGCTGAGGCCTGCATGTGGGCCTGGCATTTTAGGAGGTTTCAGGGTGCTGATGTTCCTCTGCCTGCCCACACCCTGGGGAAGCAGTGGCCATGTTGCCGGTCCTGAGTGTCCCTTTGATTTCCAGCAGGGTGGGCCAGCGCGGCAGCGGGCTCTCCATGTCGGCCGCCCGCAGCGAGCACGAGGTGTCTGAGATCATCGACGGTCTCTCGGAGCAGGAGGTAGGTCAGGCCCACGCTGTCGAGTCCCTGAGCTTGGGAGGGTCAGGGGACAGTTCAGCCAGGGAGGTTGAATTTCAAGGGCTTTGCTGCCAAGGATGGGCAAGACCCCTGGGATGTTGCAGCAACTGGGGAAGGAGAGTCTGAGTCCCAGCTGCCTGAGCTGGAGGGTAGAGGTGCCCAAGAGCATGGTTCCTGGGTGAGCTTCCTGGCACCCAGGCCAGGGCGGTCAGAGGATCTCAGCATCCCACTCCCCATCAGGCTAGGGTGTTCGGGGCAGCCCCCCTCTCCTCTTGGGCCTCCCCGGGATGCCTGGGGGACCCTGGCCGTGGTCACTGGGGCCTGGACGTGGGCAGAAAGTGGAGGGAGAAGGCAGCCTGTCTGGTCCAGCAGCCAGCGTGCTGGCCTCTCCCCAAGGATTCCCAGCACTGCATGGGTGGGCCTCCTAGAGAAGGCGCCACGTTCTTCCTCCTTTGGGACTTCAAGGGGAACGTGCCTTTGCTCTAGCTTGGAGCAATAGCTGTGCTGGTGATTTAAGATGAGGTCATCTAAGAGGAATTAAAAGCAAAAACCCAGCTTCTCAGACACATGGTTCCAAGCTCCCAGGTGGGATGGAGCAGATGCCTCTGTCAGCAGAGGGAGCGCTGAACGGGCCCAGGGACCTCTGCTCCAAACCACAGCCTCCCAGACTCCACCTTGAGTCCAGTAGAGCCCACCCCGGAGCCCTGACTCTGCCTATTTACAGCCACTCTGCTGCAGAGAACTGTGAGGCAGTTTGCAAAAACTTGACCCTTAAAAAGCCTTGGCTTGAAAAGCCTCTGGGCATGCCCCTCGCCGGAGCACTATTGGGGGCCGGACGGGGCTTACACAGTCTTGCCACGGCCCTCGGGGTCTACCTGCCCTGGCTGCCGCAAGCCCTGCCACCGCCCCATCGAGGTCCCACTGCTCCGCAGCCAGAGGCAGGCAGCCCTCCCCCGGGGTCGTGCCTTGTGGCCGGCACTGGCGTCTGCACTCTCAGTGTCCCCCACTCAAGGCCCACTCCCCTGGGTCCTGGGTACATAAGAACGTGGACCCAGTGTCTTCTGGCTGTGAGTGGAACAGCATTTGGAGTGATGGTCAGAATGGAAATCGGGGGCGGAAGCTTCACTTTCTGCAGCCAGCGCAATCTGACTCCCTGGGGGTGGGAAGTGGGCCTGGAGGAGGGTGGGGCGTCTGCCCTTGGTGGAGCCTCAGCAGCACCCCGGAGGGCTGAGCAGGGCAGCCTGCCAGAGTGGTGTCTGCCCGAGACCTTGCTGGTCATTGCCTTCCCTGTGGCTGTGGCGGCGGAGGTGTGAGGAAGGTGCCCCTGTGCTGGGTGTCCGCGGGCCTCTGCTGAGACCCTGTGCTCAGCCAGGGGGTGGGGAGGCTGGTCTTGGCCCACCCGAGCCCCAGCCTGCCTCCGGAGATGGGCAGTTAATCGCCACTAATGGGCTGGCTGCAGAGATTTGGGGAAATGGACTGAGCTGAGTGATGGCTCAGGGCCTGTTAAGGGCCACCCCCATGCATTACCAGGAGTCTGTCGACTCCGTCGGAGCTGGGCGGCCTTGATCCCCAGTGGGCAGCTCCGAGGAGCCGGGCGCCAGCATGTGGGCAGGTGGGCACGGGTCTGTGCCTCACTGGGCCCTCCCCGAGCGAGGTCGCCCCGCGTGCCCCGGGCCCCCGCCACCCTGGCCCCACGTGCCCTCCCGCCCTGGCGCGCCCGTCTCCTGCCTGGCGGAACCCGCTGCACATCTCCCCTGCGGTGTTTTATGGCGCCTGCGTTTCCAAAGGGAAGATTCATTGCTCTCCTCTCCCCGCAGATAAGGCCACGGCTGCTCCCTGCATCTAATTTACAGTCCTGCCCCCCATAAACCTGTCTGGGGCCGCCTTTAAATCCTCCCTCCCCCAGCACAGGCTGTTACTGTTCTTGGACTCATCCTTCTCCCTCTCTCTGGTGCCTCTTGCTGTCCCACCAGGCCTCGTGGGGCCCCAGCGCTGCTGGTGGGGCCTGCCCGGCCCGCGCCTGCCCCGCCCCCCCTGACCGGCCTTCTCCGTGTCCCTCCAGAACCTGGAGAAGCAGATGCGCCAGCTGGCCGTGATCCCGCCCATGCTGTACGACGCCGACCAGCAGCGGATCAAGTTCATCAACATGAACGGGCTCATGGACGACCCCATGAAGGTGTACAAGGACCGGCAGGTCATGAACATGTGGAGCGAGCAGGAGAAGGAGACCTTCCGGGAGAAGTGAGTGGCCCTGGCCCCGGCGCCCTCTGCCCCGGCCACTGAGATGCGCCAGCGGGCGGCTCCTGGATTGGGTTCCTGGGAGGTCTGAGGTCAAGGTGACGGCAGGGTTGCTGCGCCTGGAGGCTGAGGCCCCGCGGGGTGTCGGGGTGGGGGCTGTGCGGCTGGTTCCTCCTGCTGGTAGGGGAGCTGTCTGCTCTGCCCGACGTCCGGGTCTCTCTGCTGTGTGCCTGTGACCCTCTCGTGATGCTGCCGGCCGGTGGAGTCAGGGCCCACCTCCTGCTGGGTGACCTCATCCTCACCAATTTCACTTGCCGAGAACTCATTTCCAAATAAGGTCACCTTCTGAGGTCCTGGGTGGACACCGGTTTGGGGGAGCACTACTCAGCCCAGCCCAATGGGTAGAGGTAGCCTGGTGTGACAGGGCGGTGAGCTTGGGGAGAAGAGGCAGTGGGGTCGGGGGCGGGCAGGCCTGTGGCTCTGCGGTTTCCATCTCACTCTGGAAGTGATTTGTTGCACAGGTCCTTCGCCCTGGCCGGGCTGGTACAAATGGGTGGTGTGCTTGTATCCAGGCTCCCTCATCGCAGCCCTGAGTAGAAACAGGCTCAGAGAGGTTAAAACACTTAACAAAGTCACATATCTCGTCGAAGGCAGAAGCAGGATTCATCTGTCCCCACCCATGCGGGGCTGGAAGGGAGCCGGAGAGCAGGGGGCTTTGGAAGCAGAGGTGGGAGTTGGATGCCGAAAATGGCGAGCCCACCAGGCCCGTAAAAGGGAAAGGCAGAGTGGCTGTGGGGGGGGGCGGGGTTGGAGGAGGAGCTGCCTGCTGGGGAGAAGGGGCCACTCTGGGCACAAAGGTCACGTGTGGCACGAGAGTGGGAAACTGAGGCACGGAGCCCTCAGAGCCCCTCCCCTCGGAAACAGACTGAGCCCTGGCTTAGCCGCTGGACTGCCGTCTGCGGCCCAAGGGGGCCTCGCCAGCCCGTTTCTGCAGAGACGACCTGTGTGCTCCAGCCACTGCTGTGGGGCCCGGCTGCAGGCCTGGGCTGACTCTGGCCTCTCCAGGGTAGGTGTCGGGGTGCCAGGCTGGGCATCAGGGATGGGTGCGCTGCTCTGGGCCATGGGTGAGTTTGCTGGTACAGAGACACTGGCCCTTGGGGAAAGACAGGAAGCAGCACTGAAGAGGCTTTGGGGTGGAAAGTGGCATTATCTAGAACGACTCGACAATGGAAATTTTAAAACACAGATAAGCACAGAGAAACTGGCCGCCTCGGGGAGCAGGGCCCTGGGGCAGTTCCTGCTGTGCAGGAGAGTGTGCACACTCTCCGTGCCGGGCGGGAAGGCCCAGCTCTGTGGTGGCGCACGTCAGCGCCATGACCCCGGGCACGCTTGTTCTACCATCTGGCCCTGCCTGTGGGCTGTTGTGCAATTTTAAGCCAGTGAAGTGACCATGAACATCCAAGGATGCAAACTAAACGTTATTTTCAGGATTTCAGATCTTTGGCACAGCTGCCCTTTTTTTTTTTTTTTTTAAAGATGTATTTATCACTTATAGAGCTGGGGTACCGGCCAGAGACAGAGTGGGGAGCAGAATAGGCAGATCGACAAAATACACTGCTGAGGGGAGCAGCGGGTGGGTCGGGAGAGGTCTGCCGCGCCATGTGGGTCACCTCGGGGGCGGGGATTAAACTCATGCTGAAGCGGCTACGGCCCGCTTGCAGTGCTGCGTCCCAGCCTGTCGTGCCACCAGGGAGGGCCGCAGTTGACATTTCTAGTTATGGATGCTCTAGCAACCAAAGAGGTATTATGGGGTGTTCAGTCTTTCTGGGGGTTCCATTAACTCCTTTTGACTGTAGTTACGTTAACTCCTTAGCTGGAGGGCAAGGGCTGAACTCTGCTGCGTGCAGCCTGTAGGACAAACTCGGCCTTCTCTGGCTACGAGTCGGTTGGCAGCTGTCTCTCGAGGCGTGTCTTTCTGGGTGGTGGTGTCTCATTTTCAGCAGAGTTGAGAGCACCCAGGGCCTTGGGAGAGCAGTGTCCTGGGCTACACCACCCACTGGCTTGGTGACTGAAGTTGGCCACTTCCTGCGCCGAACGTCAGTTTCTTCATCTGTGAAGTGGCCGAGCAGCAGGGCCTCCCTGATCGAGGCGCCGTGAGGTGCCCCAAGCCTCGGAAACCTCCGGTGAACTTGGGCAGAGGACACAGTAGAGCTCGGAGAGGTGGAGAAGGCCACCCGGCGAGTCCCAAGCCTGCTGTCTGTGGGCCCATCTCTGCTTGGGGAAGCCCTGTGGAAAGGATTTGCAGGGAAGGAAATGTCAGTCACTGGGGGCCGAGACGGCAAGGACTCTGTCTGGAAAAGCAGGGCGCTAGACCGGCTCTGTTCTACAGGCTGCCCGAGGCAGGATCCCAGCTGGGGAAGCCTGCCTCTCCAGTACGCCACTTCCTCCGGGGAGGGAGAAGAGGCTGTTCCGGAATCTCCGGTGTCTGGTTGCGGAGCAGGGAGGGGCCCCGCTGGCCTCTGCCCAGCCATCTGGAGGCAGGACCAGCACTGTGCACTTGCTCAGCTGGTGGGGGGCGGTCTCCCCTAGGGAGGCTGAGGGTGGTGGCGTGTCTTAGGAATGGCCAGACTGGGGCTGGACCCAGGCTGGCGGCTCCACCCAGCATCCCTGGGGCCCAGAGGCCGTGACCCACATCTCCACCCCCGCTGTCCGTCCGCCTGCTCCTGTGGCCCTGACATTTCAGCCTGGCCGAGCTCTTTCCCAGTAATTCTCCTGGCTTTGCAGGAAGCCAGTTGGTGGGGCGCCAGCTCCCGGCTCCCCCCTCCCCCCCTCCAGCGTGAGTCCTTTTCTTGCAGACTCCTTGCTTGGCTGGCCTGCCTCCTGTCCGCCTCCCCGTGGGCACTCCAGCTGCTGCTCCCATCTCTGCCCAGGATGGCAACCTCTCGGTCATGACCCATGACCATGCTGGTGGGGGCCTGTGTGGGCTGGGCGAGGCCCAGCTTCCCAGACGCAGCCGGAGATAGAAACAAAAGCAGATTTTCAAAGGGGGGGAACCCCACCAAAGAGCTGCATGCAATGTCCTCATTTTTCCTGGAAGCCGCCTCCAGCAGGACAAACAAATATATTTTCAAAGGCGCTAAAACCAGTGACTCACTCCAAGGAACGCCCTCCCTTACCCCCTGCCCGCCCGCCCAGCCCTTCCCACACCCCCTGGGCTTAATTGCTCCGAGTGGGGCGGCGCCTGCCCAGCAGAGGTGGCAGGCGCCCCGGAGCTCGGCGGCCACCCAGCTGGGAAGCCCACCTTCACCCGGGCTCACGTCAGCCCCTCTCTCCCCACAGGTTCATGCAGCACCCCAAGAACTTTGGCCTGATCGCATCGTTCCTGGAGCGGAAGGTGAGTTGCCAGCCAACCCAGCGGCCACCGGCCTGTGTCTCCACGGTGTTCACGCCCGTGGTGGCTGCTGGGGCTGAGACAGACCCCCTGTCCTGGGCCCAGGGCCTTGCTGTGGGGCTCCCCTCCTTCCTCCAATCCTCTCTTCTGGGAGAAGCAGCTGCTGGCCCTCCCTGGCTCCCTCCCTCCCAGGCCTGGGGGCGGGGCCCCAGGCAGGAAACCCAGAAAGGAGGGGTGAGGGCGGAGGCTTTCCTGGAGCAGCTCCGCCTTCAGATGGGCCCAGCTCTGGAAGCTCTGCTGTCTCCCCGCCTCCCCCCGCCCCCCAAGGCCTTGGGCTCTGTGTGTAAGAGTGGTGTCTTCCAGGGCGCGTCCTTCCAGGGGCTGACAGCAAGTTCTTTCTGATGGTCACTGTTTGCTCTGATGCCCTGTTGCCCAACCAGGTGTGTGGCTAGCGAGTCCCCATCTCTGCAACTGGAGCTGACACCTGAGCCCCTCCTTGCTTCCCACTCTGTGCCCGGGGCGGGGCAACTTTTTCTCCCGCTCCTCCTTGCCTGGCAGACTCAAAGCACCCCACTGGACAGTAAAGTGCCCAGTCTGTGTGCCCTGAGGTGACTGGACTGGGCCCCGCCCTGGGTACCCCTGTGTCCTCGTGAAGTGCAAAGGGCTCTCACCTGGCTTCCCTGCCAGGGCTGCCATTTTAAGCAGTATACCCCTGGATCATGTCCCCCAGAGAGTGAGCTCCCCCCAGCTCTGCAGAGGCCTCGTGCTTCCCGAGCGCAGACAGCCAGGAGAGGAGTCTGGTGGTTATTTTAAAGACCAACCGTTGTTCCCAGCAGCTACCCCCAGGAGCTGGGGGCCAGCGGAGAGAGACACCGTCACCCCTACCCAAGAGCCAGGCAGGAGCCGCCCCATCCTCAGCCTTTTTTCTGACTTAACGTGACTTTTGGGGTGGGGGGTGTGTGCATGACCCAGGAGGCTCTAGGTTAGTGTTCCTGGAGATAGCAGCACAGGGGCTGGTCGACTGGTGTTTGTACAGCTCTGATTGGGGCCAGGCAACTGGAAGCCTCTACGCAGAAGAGCGGATGTGGTATTACGTGGCTGACGTTGGTAGAGCTTCCTAAAGGGTCTGTAGGAGGAGGGCCACCTGCGCCCCATACCCTTGGGGACAGGCTTGTCTGGGCCAGGGAATGGCAGGGTGAGGAAGGCTGGCCGAGGCCACGGGCAGCAGCACACAAGGCGCTTTCCCTGTTGTTCAAGAAGTCAGACCCTGCCCCACACATCAATGCTGGTGTCTGACTATCCAGTGGTGCGGCCACTGGAGCCACCCCTAGATGGGCCTGGGGTAGCCCCCATTGGTGGTGGCTGCATTCTGGGGATGGAGGCCCAGCCACAGCCCTGACGGACGCCCCTCGGTGGGAGCCATCGTGGCTACGTGTGGGTCTCGTCACCTGAGTCCTCCAGTCGCTTTCTGAGGAAACCCCTCCTACTGGTCCTGTTGGAGAAGGAGACAGTCCCTGGCTCCCTGGAGAAGAGCCCAAGGCAGAGAAAAGATGACCATGGGTGCTGGGGTCAGGCCAGGCCCATGAAGCTGGGAGGAGGTTACTTGGGGCCCCAGATGGCCAGGGGTGAGGGAAAGGAGACCCCAGGCCTGGGTTGGGGAAGTTTTGAGTTGCCTAGCTGGGACCTGCAGGCCTGGGGCCCTGGGGCTGGCAGGTGGCAGCGTCATCACCATAATTAACCTGAGCAGCACCACTCATATAAGGACAGGTGACGCGGCTGGAGTGTTTGCTCTGTGCTGGGCGGGGTACTTATAATGTTAACTTATCGGGCCCGAAATCGGTATCCCCATTCCACAGGTGAGAAGACGGAGATACAGGCTAGGTGGCCTGGCCAGGGTCACCAGTCGGTAGGTGGCGGGGGCAGGGTTTGAACCGAGGCCCACACTGTACACCCCTCAGCATTCTTCTCTGTCTTCACCTGCAGACGGTGGCTGAGTGTGTCCTTTATTACTACCTGACAAAGAAAAATGAGAACTACAAGAGCCTGGTGAGGAGGAGCTACCGGCGCCGTGGCAAGAGCCAGGTGAGTTGCTCAGCGGTGGCTCCCTGCAGTGGTGGGGACACTGTATTCGGGGGTGTTCAGCCTACCCCAGCAGCAGAGAAAAGAGTGAGGTCAAATGGCTATTTTCAGTCTAAGCCTAGAATATTCTAGAACTCCTGGACAAGTGGCTAAGACACCACATTCCCAAATCAAGGATAACTAGAGCTGGTCCGCAAACTTAACATTTTTTTTCAGAAATGGTTTTGTGTGTTTACTTGAAAACATATTTGATTGAGAGAAAACATATCGTGCAGTTTTTCAGACATTGCTGCTTAGAATGAGACTGTGGATTTATTTAAATTTGAGCAGGATTTGGCGAACTGTGGCTCCCGTTCTGTGTTCCAGCCCTCAGCCTGTGTTTATGAATAAAGTTTTATTGACACATGGCCGTGTTCATTCATTTATATAAATCACTGCAGCAATTGCAGCAGTAAGGAGTCACGTCTTTTACAGAAAAAGCTTGGTATAGGAGAAAGGGTGGCTTAAAGAAAGAAAAGGAGCAGTAAAGCACACCTTTTTTAAAAATAATATGGCAGTTTATTTATTTTTACAACATTTTGCAGTAGCACACCTTTTTTTTTTAAAGATGTATTTATTTGTGCATACAGAACTAGGGTACAGGGCAAAGGTGCAGGGGCAGTGAGAGGCTTCGCCAGAGACAGAGTGGGGAGCAGAACAGGCAGATGGACGAAGTACACTGCTGAGGGGAGCAGCAGGCAGGTCAGGAGAGGTCTGCCGCGCCATGTAGTCACCTCCGGGGCAGGCGGGGATCGAACTCGTGCTGAAGTGGCTTTAGCTTCTTAGTGCTGCGCTTTAACCTGCTGCGCCACCAGGGAGGGCCCAACACACCTTTTAAAGGAGGATTGTGGATGCTTAATATGGGAGGGACAAAGAGACAGGGTGTCTTGGTTTTACTTCCGGGCTGCTGAGAATCAGCTCCAAGCAGATGTTGGGAGGACCTGGCTGGTACTGAGGCAGGCAGGACTCGACGGGATTCTGCAGAGGGTGTGGGGCACAGCTGTAGATTTGGGTCGAGTCACAGGGCACATTCTTCCCTGGCAGTGTGGCCTAAGGGAGCTGGGGAGTGTGACCATGGCCAGGAGTAGTTGGGAGACCCTGAGGTTTTCTTAGCTGGGTCCTCCGGACATTGGCATCGGGCACCAAGTTCAGTCATCACCACTGGTCCTGGGTCTCCTGGGAAGCATCCACTTGGCAATGGCCTGTGGCAGTTGGTCCACTTGACTTTCTAACACCTATCTTGGGTTTTCTCGATCGCATTCTAAGGACTGTGCTTCGAGGGTACAGATCCACTCTAAACCGAATGTAATTAGGGAGACCACCTTGTGGATGACTCCTTTCTGCACCCTGAGCCTCAGGCTGGAAGGATTGGGCCTGAGAGCTGGTCCTTGCTGACCTGGTTGCTGAAGAGTCACTGTGCTGAAGGGTGCGCAGTGTTTTCTGCTCTAATTTTGTGTAGCTACAGTTGACTAGCCTGCTCTCCCATCTGACAGATTTACTGATGTGTGACTACTAATTCCAAAAACCTAGCTGTGGCATTTGAGAAATCAAAGTCCCTACAGGAAATGTGTAGATTGCAATGCAAGGACTCAACTACCAGGAGGGGAGCACACATCTATTGGTGGGGGTTGTGGCAAAATAGAGGAGGTGATAACGACCTTCGGGTTTATTTAAACGACATTGTTAGGAGTTTCTTGAGCACCTACTGTGTGCCACTTCTCTTGTATGTCTTGCTAGTACCCTCTGCTGCCTTTGTGGGCACACTGCAGGTGGTCGCATGTGTCTTTCCTCGTGGGGTGGCTGGGCCAGGGGCCCTGGAGAGGAAAGGGTTTGGAGGTAGATGTCCATCTCCTTTTCCTATGCTGAATGCTGAATTTACATGAAGGCAGGCAGAAGTCTGTGCGTGGGGGAAGGGATTTCCCCAGGTCATTCCTGGGGCCTGCAGGGGTCGTAGCCCCACGATCTGGTCTTGGCTGCTGTGCTTTCTTTGCTTGTTGGCTTACCTGTCCATTGGACATTTGTTGTTGCTGCTTTAAAGATTTATTTATTTATACATATAATAGCTGGGGTGTAGGCCAGAGGTGCGGGGAGTGTGAAGATTCGTCAGAGGCAGAGCGGGGAGCAAAAACGGGTGGGTCCACTGAAATCCGCTGCTGAGGGGTGCAGCAGGTGAGACAGGAGAGGTCTGCTGTGCCATGTAGGTCAGCTCCTTGGCTGAAGACGGAACTCGTGCTGTGGTGGCTGCAGATTGCTTCATAGTGTTGTGGCTCAATCCTTTGCACCACCAGGGAGGGCCTTGTCCAGTGGACATTTGTGTGCTGGGCACAGGGGCTCCTGCTGGCTGTGCAGACTGGGTTGTAAATAGTCCCGAGATAGCTCATTAGAGCGCTGACTGAGACGTCAGAGAGGAAGCGGCCCCGGAGGTGAGGTTGAGGGCCAGCCCCTCTTGTGGCGGACACTGGAGGTAAAAGTATCCTTGGCATAGGGGAACAGCAGGGACAGAGGGACAGGCCATGCAAAAGAGCACAGTGCCCTTTGAGTCTCTGAAACAGGGGCCCCGGTACCTGTCAGGGTCTAAAATGAGTTCAGAAACAAAGAAAAATCATGGGACCATCATTCTTGTGCTCCCATTTGATGAATAAGTAGAAGAATTTCTGTGCTCCCTGAGAAATAGAAGCGCAAATGATGCCAAATGACAGCTCACACTTCAGATCCGTGGGAGGCAACAAGGAGTGGCGAGGCCTGTGGCTAATTAGAGAGCTTGTGCCCCATCTCATCTCCGGCTGACGCTCAGCCAAGTGGTATTGTGTGGCCAGGTCTGATTTTTGTGATGAGCTGGAGGCCTGAATATATGCTATATTGCCTGATTTTAAAATCTTAGGTCACATGTAAAACAAGAACAAAACACGGTACGGACCAGGGAGCTCACATCTGCTCTTAAAAATCTGCCTGCAGACTAAGCTTCGTATGAGAGCGCTGGGCTGGCTTGTGACAGGCTGGGGGACATGGCGAGGAGGGGATGGCGTGACTTGGGACAGAGGCCTGGCCAGATACTCGGGAGTGTTGGGGTGCTTGTTGCCCCCTTCCATCTGAATTGTTCTGGGCTAGCTATGGTGTCTGCAGTGCTGAGAGACCAAAGATTCTCCTGGGAGGTTTCACTCTCTGCTCAGCTGGAGTCCCAGGCTGGGCTCTGCAGAAGGCAGAGACAGCCCGGGGACAGCTGGGCCGCCCCAGGAGCGGCATGGCGCTCACCTGTCTGGGACCCGGAGGCCTTGCAGATTGTTGGAAGAGCATCCGTGCCGGGCGAGGTGCCATCTCTTTGGGAGATGGGTCAAGGCCTTGACAGGAGCACTTGGGCTCGTCCTGCCTCCCCAAATCTCCTGGTTTTGGAAGAAGAGATTGACTCAGCCAGAGTTTGCTGGGTCCCTGTGGGGGGCACACGCAGTGAGCCAGCTTCTAAGTGTTCCTGGCCCTGCGTTTGGAGGTGCGCTGATGATGATGCGTTCACTCATTCAGGAGCTACAGAGCCTGCACTGGCTCCATGCTGAGGGCTTGCGCTTTGGAACTGAAGCCCCTGGTGGAGGAGGGGCCACTGCTGGTTCCCAGGAGAGGAGGTGGAACCCTGTGAGTTTCAGATTAGGGCTGAGGGGCTCCCCTGGGCTGCCCCTGGCCCTGTGCTGGACCTGTGGGCTGGGCCCATCCACCTTGACAAATTCCTCTTGTGCAGGCTCAGCTGGGTCTGGCAAGGAGGGTGCTGGCTGCGGGGTCTGCCCCTCGGAGGCCTGTGTCCGCAGCTGAGTCACAGCCACAGGCTCGGGCTCTCCCCAGGAAGGCTGGTGGAAACATAGATGCCTGGGCCGTGCCCCTGCCGGGCCGAGGCGGAGAATTTGCTTTTATAAACAGCCCCTGGTGACCCTGATGCTGTTGGTCCAGGGGTCACACTTGGAGCCTCGCCCTCACGAGGGCTCCAGGGGTAAGGGGGGGGAGAAATGGCGAGAGAAGGGCAGCTGACCTACAGCCTTGACTGGCCACGAGGGCTACAGGGCTGGGAAGGCGCTTGCCAGGTGTCTGGTGCTGCAGAGAGGGCTGGCTGGGCTCTGCCCAAAGGCCGCAGACAGCCGGGGGTGCTCCTAGAGGCTGGCCCTTCTGGAAAGGACCCACCGGGCAGGCCCTAGTGCCTGCCCACGTGTTTGCATATTTGCGGACCTAGCTTCACCTGCTGGTGACCTGCCCTGAGGCCTAGCCACAGGTGAAACCTGTCCTGCTATGCCACCCCCTCCCCACACCCTAGCACCTGCTCCAAACTCTGTGTTCCTCGTTTCGATGGGTGGCTATAAAAATGCCATCTGAAGCTCCAGCTCCTGGACGGAAAGCGTTGCCTCTCAGATGTCTGGGCTCAGCCCTTCAGATGACCTGTAGTGCCTCCAGGGAGTCGGCCCAGGATGGAGGCAGGACGTAAGCCGGGCAGTTAGTTTCAGGATGGTCTTGTGGAGGTGAGGGTTCTGGCCACCTTCTGGATGCTTCCTCCATGTGCTAGACCAAGGCCCAGATACTGTTTTGGAGTGCCAGCCCCTTCACGCCCACCCTGCCAGACCTCAGGGGCCCGAGCCTTGGGGGAGGTGGCTGTGAGTTGGCTCTCAGCCAAGCGTCCCCTCCCCGAGGTGAGTCACACCAGGCGGGCCCAGTTCGAGGCACCGGCGACAGCGCAGCGGTTTATAGTCCATGATTCATGGACGGGGGGCCGGGTCAGCCCAGCTAATGGTAGAACCAGAGCTCAAGTGTGCCGCGGTCAGCAGTGGCAGACCCTGTAGACCAAGGGGTGCCGAGAGCCTGAGACCCGGCAGGCTGGGCAGCAGGGCCCTAGAGCGCTCCCTGTGATGGGGGCACCTGCTGGCAGGGGTGGCATGTCTGAGGGTGAGCCTTGTCCCCGGGGCATGCCCCCCAGAGCAGGGAGGGGCAGAGGG